TTTAAAAAGGTCTTTTGAGTATCTTAATCTAGCTGTATCATTGATCGCTACTAGCTCCACCTAGTATATATTTGCATGAAGCTCCTTTGATGAAAAAATTCAAAAAAGAATTTGCAATTTTAGGCGACCTTAAGGTAGGGTTTTCTTTATTTGAAAATAGAGGGCATTTCTAAATAGAGGGAATTCAGTTGCTTTCTAAGATGCTGTTGTAATGCCAAAATTGGAGGCATCTAATGACTACCAGACCGTAGAAGTTCATGAAAAATGAGTCTTGTTATATGTTGAAAATAAATCTTAAAGTTTTCTTTATTGCTACTTAAATGGAAACTTTGGAATCATAATAGAAAAGGAATTAAAACAGAAATTGCATTACTTGCTGGATTCTGTGAGAATCGGTATTGAATTAGGCTAGTCCTTTGATTTGTTTTATTCCTGGCTCTGTTAGGAGGAAAAGGACTTTTCCTTCTGTTGGTGTGGATGATGCCCACAACCATTTCCATAGTCTAGTTCCTTCCTTTCAGCATGTCTGTGAGTCCATTGGTTCTGCTGTGTGGCTGCTCCAGGAGGAAAGACGCACACACAATCCTCCAGGAGGGGATGCACACAAGAGTACTCCCAGGAGAAGACACACACACAGTGTTCCCTAGAAGAGCTGCCTTTTGGGAAGGGCCCTGTTCCAGTCTCCTCCTCAGAGCTGCCTTTGGGAGGGGAAGCTGGAGTATAGAGGAGCTTTAAGACAGCAGGGTACAAAGAAGCCAATATTCTGTCAATTGACTTAATAAAAAAGACATTAAATATTACCAGAGGAGAAAGTGAAAAGGTGTCATGTAGTTTAGTGGGTATAAGTGTTTATTCTTGTAGTGGTTTTGGTTCACCCGTTTGAGATGTCTCAGCTTGTGCACCAGTTTATGTGGTGGATCTAGCACTAGGCCAAATCGCCAGTGCACCCACTAGAATTATTTACTCATTTCCTGCTGTGAGATAGGATTAGGAGGAAGGAAAAATAGGCTCAAACTTTAAAGGGTACAAAGAAAAACTTTACTACTAGAAACTATAAGAGAAAATAAGAATCAGAATAAAACTTTCAGAACACTTTTCCTCCCCCCACAACTCCTTTTCTTTCACACTGATGACATACAGAGAAAATCAGTCCGTTTGCCATCTCTAAAATAGCCCAGGCCAGCAGCAGGGCAGGGTTTTAATGTCAGCTCGTTGCTCAGCTGAGCCATGGGCCCCCTGGCCGTGCTGGGGGGTGTGGGGCAGGGGGTGCACTAGGATCTTAACAGCCTAGCAGGCTTCCCCTCCCCCTTTCTATCAAACGCTGGGGGCCCCGGCCGAAAACCGGGCCCAGTGGGCTTCCCCGAGCTCTGTGTCAGAACCTGCCCAGCCCTGCCTGGCCCAGCTTGGCCTGGCCTCCCTAGGCCCACAGGCTGCACGGGGCTTGGCCTGGGAGACTAGGACTAGTTGCTTTCGGAGAGGCCGGAAACAGAAAAGAGATTCCCAGGGTTTGTTCATTTTAAAATGTGAATTTCACAGAGGTGCATCCATCTCTTTCAGTGGTTTAACCGGTTGCCAGTTTTCAAAACCAATCACTGATTGGCTTTTTGTCAGACACAGAGGAAGCTGCCCAGATCTTAACAGGGAACTATTTCAGGAAATTAATACAAACCACTGCAACTCGGTACAATCACTACTTAATGAACAGATCTAGCAAAATGCCCATTTTGTGTGTGGAACTGTAGCTCCACTCACAAAGTGAAGTGAAGGAACTGCAGGCTTTGGAACGTTAAAGTTTTAAATTAGTGTGTGTAGATGGGAAATAGATGTTTATTAGTCATAAAATAACACATTAATGATTCTCTGGTGTTACTGAGTAATCTCTTTGTAGCAGAGAGTGTAATATTCCAGTCAATAATTCCACTCATAGGGCTCAGAAATAATAGGTGGCTTTCTGGAGGCTCCTGTCCTTATCCATTGACAATTTAGGAAGACAAAGTATATGACTCAGTCTTAATGGTTCATTTTTGGGTGGTGAAACTTAGGGAGCTTAGGGAGGCAAGTCCTGTGCTCTCCATGATGCAGATCCTTAGATACTGTTAAGTTGTCAAATAAATTTTAAAGTGAAGATTGAGGCCAAACTTCTTGTTAGGGTGTCTACAATGACAAACCTAGATCTCCTGTTAAGCAGCCTGCTTCCTGCTTGGATATGGAGTTAAGCAACCCTACACTTTAGAATCCTTTGCACTTTTCCTGGGCTCAGTTTAAAGCTTTTATTTTTGCTTTCTCTTTGCTTTTCTCTTTGCTTTCAACTTCTGTTTCCCTCATTTCTTGATGATGGTGTTGTGCCACATCATTTACTGTAAGAAGTATGTCTGCAAATGTTAAAAGAATCATGGATTTTATTATGCTGTCACCGTAACCATGTTGAGGAGGCCATCTTTAATGTATTATTGATGTTCTAAACCATTATTTTTAATAGCATTGTGCAGTGGGAGAATGCTGCCAGTGGAATGGAAGATCAGATGAAGAAGAGTTCTCAAGCAATAATCCAGTAGAAAGTCAGTCTTGGAAGCATGGTTGAACACGTGCACTCTTTTACTTTGAGCCATTAACTGTAAAGGAAGGATTTACTGCTGGAAATGTGAGATAATTTGATAACTTTTAGTTAATTTTAATATAGGCCAAAATCACATGGATAGAATTTGACATGGTAAATTTTTACTCTTTGTCAGACTTAGCTAAATGAATTCCCTGTGGCAGTTTAGCATCAGACAATGTAGGCACATGGCTTTGTAAGTGGTTCATGCATTATTTCCTCCTTGTCTTGGTTTGAAAGACAGGTGTCTGCTAAGGAAGGCAGGAGCCACTCTTGAAATGGAAAATGTAAACTCCCTCCCTCCACATTATTGTGATTTTGAAATTAAGGAGCTCTCGGGCAAAGATATGGAGATAAGCATAATAGTTCATTACTAGGAAAAAAATAAAATAAAAATATAGTAATACAAAAAAAAAAACCCCAAACAAACAAGCAACAAAAACCAAAACACTGCCAGTCAGAATACAGCCTGATGCCCCATCAGTCAGGGTGTTGGTAGTAGTCCAATTGAATGGTGGCTGAAGTCCTCTTGGAGTGACTGATGTGGTTCATTTGAAGCAGTGGTCCTGTAGAAGGGTCAGTTTTCCTCCGAAGGTCCAGTGATGAAATGGAAAGGTCTGGTTTTCCAGTGGAATCCAGTAGAAAAAGGTTTCTCTGATGTCCCAAATCTCAGATTTTTTTCTAGGTAGAAAATTCTTGACTCCTCCCCCTGGGTGTAATTTCATTAGTCATGCAGTCATGCAGTGAGACTCAATGGTCCATTAATAGAAGATATCTCCCTGGAGGAAGGATGGGTCATGGAAAATAAAAAGAACACTGCCCCACCTGGTTTTAACAGATGGTCCACTAACAGAAGATATAACCCCCAGAGATAAAGATCACTGCCCCACCTAGTTTCAGATGGTAACAGATGGTGATAGAATATATACTTTTGGTTACATCCTGTTTTGCAGGCCAAGACCTTATCCACCCCTTATTCTATTACCATTTGCATCATACTCAAATTAATATCCTCTTCAAACTTTACAATGAAGCTTTAGACTCAGTTCTCACTTAAAATTAGGTTTCCTAGTGGTACACAATGGGTTTCTTCATCTTTCTGTTTTATCCACCAAGTGTAACCAGGTCCTTGAGCAAAGGCAATCCCATGGATGGCATTGTCTTTGCCTACGGTGGGGCTAATCCAAACAGTCTTTCGTAAAATATTTTTTACGTGTACCACAGGAACTTTATCTCCATCCACTATGTGCAAGGGTTCAGACTGGGCAGGACCAACTTGATTGAATAACTCTCTTGGGTTTTGACCATCCAGGTGGTCTTGCTAAGTTCACTTCCCAATTCTTGAAGGATCCTCCGCCAAGTGCCTTCAGGGTAGTGTTAAGTAGTCTGTTGCACTGTTTAACTTTCCCAGCAGCTGGTGCATGATAAGGGATATAATATATCCATTCAATGCCATATTCTTTGGCCCAGGTGTTTATGAGGCTATTCTTGAAATGGGTTCTGTTGTCTGACTCAATTCTTTCGGAGGTGCTATACCACAGGATTTGCTTTTCCAGGCCCAAGATGGTGTTCCGAGCAGTAGCGTGAGGCACTTAGTAGGTTGCCAGCCAACCAGTTGTGGCTTTCACCATGGTCAGCATGTAGCGCTTACTTTGGTGGGTTTGAAGAAAGGGGATGTAGTAATTCTGCCAGGACTCTGCATACTTATATTTGGACCACTGTCCCCCATACCAGAGGGGCTTCACCTGCTTGGCTTGCTTGATCTCAACACGTCTCACAGACACAGATAACCTGAGAAATACTGTCTGTAGTTAAATCCACCCCTCGTTCTCGTGCCCACTTAGAGGCATCTCTGTCCTCATGACCTGGGGCATCACGGGCACATTGAGCTAGGAACAACTCTCCCGTATGTTGCCAATCTAAATCTATTTGTGACACTTCTATCTTTGCAGCCTGATCTACCTGATCATTGTTTTGGTGCTCTTCATTAACTCGACTCTTGGGGGACATGGGCGTCTATATGACGGACTTTCACAGGTAGCTTTCTCTACCCAAGTGGCAATGTCTTTCCACTCACCATCCCCCAAGCTTCCGCGGCCCTTCCCCCCTCCCTCACAATTCCGGACCCAGTCCTTGTGACCCCAGCGCCCCTACTGTGTCCACGCGCGCCCCGCCCCCTACCGTGTTGGACCCTGCCGTGCCCGCCCCCGTAGCCTCGGCTACCATCATCCCCGCCCCAAATGCCTCCTCCACCCCTGTTCCCTCAGTAACTGCGGATCCCGCCCCGACATCGCCTCGACTCCGCCCCTCGGCTCCACCCCTGCACACCCTTCCGCCACCGTCACGGCCCCGACCCCTGCTGCTGGTGCCATGCTGACCCCAACCCCTGCCTTCGCTCCCGCCGGCCCGGATAGCTCAGTCGGTAGAGCATGAGATTCTTAATCTCAGGGTCGTGGGTTCGAGCCCCACATTGGGCGCCACTCTGTAAGAATCTCTGCTTTGGGACGGTCAGGACAAACTCAGGCGCTCTCTTTATTCTGGTCTTAAAGTTTGCAGTTTATTTCGTAGGTCGTGGGTATATATAAGGCCTTGCTAGGAACTGCAGCCGCAGCTCAGAGCAGGGCAGGAAAAAGGGATAGAGAGAAAGTAAAAGAAGAGAGCTTAAAAGAGCTTAAGAAAGAATGAAGAGAGTAAGAGCATGAGAGAGAGTGATTTTCCCATTTACAATACATTAAATCTTTTTCTATGTTGAGTAGTCTAATTTCCACTAACCAATCTAATACAAGATACAAATTCTCTAACATTTGCATGCAACCTATAGGAATCACTACATTACCATGTTTTACTGCTTTTCTTATCTCTAAATTTTATCTGGGACCCTTCCTGCCATGCTAGGGAGGATGTCTGTTTGCTTTTGGTATTTGCAGCATCTAACATTATCTAAACAAAGGTGCCTTCAGGCATTCAGTTGCTTTCAGCCACACAGTTGAAAATCACTACTATTTCTGTTTCACTTATATTTTCCATATTCTCAAAGTCTTTTGCTAGGCACTCATATTTATAAGGTTTCCCTAATTCATCCTTCCCAACAAGATTGGTTTTCCCCTATGCTGCCAGTTAGCCTTTTTCCACCTTTCCAGCCAACCCCACAGAGCATTGGCTACCATCCACGAATCAGTGTAAAGGTAGGGCTTTGGCCACTTCTCTCTTTCAGCAATGTCCAAAGCCAGCTGAACGGCTTTGAGTTCAGCAAGCTGACTTGATCCATCTTCCCCTTCAGTAGCTTCTGCAACCCGTCATGTGGGGCTCCATACAGCTGCTTTCAATAGGAAATTATGTAATTTCATCCGTCATGCAGTGGGATTCAATGACCCATTAACAGCAGATATCTCCCTGGAGGAAGGATGGGTTGTGGAAAAGATAAAGAACACTGCCCCACTTGGTTTTAACAGATAGTCCATTAACAGAAGATATCTCCCCCAGAGATAAAGATCACTACCGCACCTGGTTTCAACAGATGGTGATAGAATACATACTTTGGTTACATCCTGCTTTGCAAGCCAAAACATTCCTTTGCCAACATTTTTAACTTGGATTTTAGTTTGTTTTTCTTTTTCCTCACCCATAAGACTGAAAAGTGTCTTTTCTTACTTACAGTTTTCTGTAGGTAATTCCAAATCTAGAGTTACATTATGCTACGAAATAACTAAGTTTTATCTCCTAGGAATGAAGAATTTTATTTCCAATTTTCTGTACTTTAAAGCATAAATTTCCAAACATCTTCCTTGCCAGTATAAAGGTTGGAGTGAGTCTTTGCCCCAGGGGACATACATGATGTGCTGCTTCCATGCTGACATCTCAAAACCTGCCAGAGGCCCAAAGGGGAGGCAGATAACCCCCTGAGTTGGTGAAAATATCATAAAATAGATGTGCTGAAATTTGCATTTTAGTGCCCAAATTAAGGCTTCTGTAGTCTTATTTAGCTCACCTCTTGCAAGGTGAAAACAGCGTTGAACATGGTTGAACATGGTTCATGTGTTGTAAATACAAAGAAACTCTGCAGCCTGACATTACCCAGAGGAAATGAATCTGTCTCTCTCTTGTTTTGTGTTTTTAAGGTGAAATTCAATGCTCTGCCTTGAGCTTTTCCTGTCAGAGGAGAGCTCTCCCAAAGAGCCCCCAGCTGTCTAGGGCTCTGTGTCTGCATATGAAAGGCAAAGTGAATGAGATATGACAGACTGATGCCTGTGCTAAAAAATCCAAAAACCTAGCAAATTCCAGCAGTAAGGGTGGCTGCCAGAGAACAGTTTTAGGACAGGCTGGAGAATTTTACACATTATGGACTCTAATAACTCCTACAAACAGACCAAGAGGGAATTACTGAAAGAAAATTATTAAATAAGCAGGTGAATGTCAATGTTGATGTTGCTTTTCTGTCAAATTAGCAACACAGAAGGCAGGTGCTAGCACAGGGGTGGGTTATTCAGCTCAGATTCAGGATATGTTTTCTTCAGGCAATATGTCTTTGTTTCTTGGGCTGCCCTGTGATTACACCAGACTCTTTCCAAAGCCTCAGCATAAACTGGCACCCTCCCTCAGAGCTCCCTTCTGTGCCAGCTCCTCCTCCAGCCAGCGAGGTGTTAGCTCTGTCCCCTGGTTTCAGCCCACCTTTCTCCACATTGGATTAATGGCTTGGTCAAGGCTAGGCATTTTTTGTCCTGTGGTGTGGCTGGTGATGTTTGGGGTTCCCCGTGGGACCCTGAGACTGTCTTAGCAGTCCTCAGTGACAGAGCACACTCTCAAGCCTTACCCAGATAGAACTTGGCTCGCAGTGCACCCTCAAACCAGCAGGGTGAAGAGATCGGAATATGTAGAAAGGCAAAAATCTATACTTTATTCTATGAAGACATCCTGTCTCACATATTCCACGTTTAGGTTTTTTCGGGGATTTTTATATCTTTTGAGGGTTTTACACTTTGCACCAATTACCAAGGGAATTCTACATTCTAACCAATCCCTTGGGGATTTTACGTTCAAAGTTAGCCTATTGTGATGGGTTGACTTGGGAAGAAGAAACTCAGAGGGAAGTTCTCTCTAAGGGAGCTTCCTCTGTAGGGGCTGGGACACCTTCAACAGCCAATGGGAGAAAGTTAGTTCGCTCCGTGAGCACACATTTTGAAGGAGGTAATCCGGAACTGAGGCTTTTTGTCTTTCCGGTGGCTGAGTAGGTAACATCAACCCGAGCTTCCCCCCCGCCCCTGTGGGCGGGAGGCTCAGGAGGCTGCTTGGGCCCTGTTTGCAAACGAGGGGACCCGATGGCCGGGAGGAGGAAAGGCTCCTTGATAAGACCTTCACAGCTTCCTCCTCCACGGGCCTGTGGCTCTGGGGTGGGGGGCCCAGTTCCCGCTGCTGTTGGAAGGGCCGGGCCTGCCCGGCCCACTGCAGTCTGGGGGAGGCAGGAGGGCCCTGTTTGGGAAGCAGGGGTGACCATGAGCAGTGTGGGGCTGCAGCCCAGCCCCAGAAAGGCTGATTGACACCTCAGCCGCCCCCCCCCAGCATGGCCTGAGCCTGGCCCAACTTTTGTAGTTGTGTTTAACTCTTTAGTGCTCAGATAAGATTTGCAAAACCTACGGCGTTTTCCTTTGAATATGAAATGGAATAAGAAGATTTCTGAAGTCAGTGACATAAGAGCTAAGTTTTTTTAGATGGAAGGACAATGAGGAGATGCTATAAATGGCTGAAAGTCCTTTTGTAAGACTGTAGGAATGAACTGATGTACTGAATATTCCTATAAACCATGGAAAAAGACATGGGGGGATGGAGATGTTCCATTGTTCCATTTGATAGATGATTTGACCAAAGAGCACCTGTATTGACAATCTTTGCCCTGAGGAAAGAAGGGGATCTCAGTTTTCTGAGGATGAAGCCTGAACAGAGAGAAAAGAGATGAAGAGAACCTTTGCTGTAGAACATTTAATTCTTAAAAGTAATACCCCATGAGACAGACATGGCCCACATCTACAGCTTTGGGAAGGCTGTGGAGTTGGGAGGAGTGTCACAGTTGCAGGTTCCCGGGCAGATGCAAATCGTGAAAAATGAGACCACGAGAGGACTGGTTTCTTCCTTCTTGTGGAAAAAATCCCAACAGCTTTAACAAGAGGAGGCTTCTCTCTCCAGAAGTGAACTTAAAACGACTAAATTGGGAACTGACTGAAGTATTTGCTGTATGTTTGTTTTGTTGTTATGAAGGTTGGGAGGGGGAAGGAAGGAGTCGTCTGAAAAAAGATCTTCTTCTGAATTTGGTTTTTTCCCCCCTCTTTGTTTGTGTAGTTAATAAATTTATTTTTTTTTATATGCTCTTAAGTTTTAGGCCTGCCTTGCTTTTTGCTCCTGGTTCTGTCTCTCAACAGAAAAATGAGTTTATTTAAATTGGCAAATCAAAACGTAGACATAATTTGGTGCGTTGGCCGGGAAACAAAATTAAACCAAGACACCTATAGATACTAAAAGAAAATGAACCACTAATATTGGAGAAAGATAACAGAAGGGTCTACCGAGGGGGGAACTGGATTCCTTTTTGTATTTGTCATTTAACAAGCCATTTCTTATCTTTAAGCTATGGTTTTCCAAGGGACCTGTTCTGGGGACACAGAGAAACTTTCTTCTTTATGAATGTTTTCTGCTCCCTCCACACTGTGCGACACATCAAGGCCTTAGTGCAGAACTCACTCAATTTCTAGAATAAAAAGATGAGTATTTTTTCTGCTGGTCACTGCAGGCGAAGGGCTAATTTTACCTCTGAAAGTCTTACTATTCACCTGTAAATCTGCCGTGGTCCCCTGGGCTTTGTTCAGTTGTTAATAGTATTTATATTATATATTATACCATGTATTTTAAATGTCTTTTTTTACCTTGTCCTGCAGGAAAAAATCAGCAAGAAAATATTTTACAGGTATTATAGACATAAAATACAGAGTTCTATATTATGCTGCTACTCTTCTTTCTTTTTTTCTATGCTTGTCAATAAACATGATATTTGTAACTTATTTCCTTTTATTTCCCATCCTGAAACTCAGTTCCAGCCGCTTTGTTGTAGATGAGAACTAGTGAAATTACAGCAAAGTGTTTGCTGGCTGAAAAAGAACAGAAAATCCTGTAAATAATAGCTCCTCATTGACTGAAGTCTAGAGGCAATTTCAAGAAGTCTCTGATGTTCCTAATTAGCTTTGTCCTTTACAAACCTGTCCCAGGAAGCTAAAGGCAAACAATGAAAAGGAAAACAGCTGAAAATCCTTGTGAGTTTCCAGTCCTCAAAAAGAAAGCAGCCTTCACTCCCTCAACGCTGCACACCCTGACACACTGCTCTCATTTTATTTGGGCTTCTATATAAAACTATGAAATATTAATTATTACTCTTATACACTGAGAGAGTGACTTGTTCCCAGAATAGTGAAGGAAAGCATCCTTACTGAAGTAA